CGCCGCCGCCGCCGCCGCCACCACCACCACCACCACCCAACACAAAATGCATTTTTAGTCAATCATCTCCTCCCATGGGTTGCACAAACCCTGCTCAAGGGCAGTGGTTGCCTCCTCTTCATCTGGCTGTCTTCTCCAGGCCTGCACCTCCCCAAAGCTATGGTCGTCACAACTAAGAACCATGTGAAGGGAAAGGGGAACTCGCTAGGGCTCCTCAGAGCCTTTGCCACAGCCTCAGCTAAAATTAGGAATCGGTCTATCAAAGTAAAAAGTCAGGCTGCAATGAACCCCACAGTAGGGCACCTGTCCAGCACATGTGAGGCCCTGTGTTCCATTCCCTGCAACTCTTAAAAAAAAAAAAAGCAAATCAGTAAATTAGTTAATTAAAAGAGGAAGCAATATGATAGCTTTTCTTTCACATTAGCCACAATTCCACACTCCCAAGTCTGATTCTATCCACTCACACCTCTCCTGACTCTTCCTTAGAGACAAGGAGAGAACAGTGAGTGTCCACAGCACAGTGCTCTTGCCTTTTCCTTCTGAAGGCAGTTTGCAGAGCCTGTCTCTTCAGAAAGGTTTTCAGAAGCTTCTCTGTGGTTCTTCTAGAGTCAATGGATGCAGAATCCTTCTTCTGCCTTCTCTTTGCCTGTTAAAAGGAAGCATAGGATTTCACCTCAGGTGCTGGTCTACTAAAACATTTCCTCATCTGAATTTAGGGACAACAGCTGTTCTAGTTCTTCCTCCTCACTGCTGTCAATAAGCATCTTATTCAATAAGCATCAATCAGGTTCTGTGTTGCACAGGACACACAGAGCACTTGCCTGTAGATCACCTATATAGCATATCTGGGAAGTTATTAGCTTATAGTCAGTTCCTTGTAAATAAACTTCAATACCACCAAGAATCTAAAACTTTATACAAATTGTTACAAAGTCAATTTGATACTATTTCAAGAAATGTATTATTTGTAATGTACCTCTGTCCCTCCAAATTCAACACTATGTTAGAAGTCCTTAGCACATATAGAAAGATATTCTAATAAATATCAAGCTAAGTAGACAATTTTGCTGAGACAGTGCTGCCTTGAAGAAGGCATTCTAGAAGATAGCCCAGACCAGTGCAGTTTTGTTGGTGTTATTCCGAAAGCAGGTTGTTTGTTTGCTTGCTTATTTGTTGTGTTTCCCTGTCACCAAGGACACTCGATCACACTCTCAAGGAGGGATCTCTTGAGTAGGGGCTCCACAATGACGAATAGTAGACCAGCCAGCCAAACTGTGGACCACCTAAACAGATACTCTAGAGAAACTATTGTAAGAATTGTAGTTCTTTTTTGTTGTTGTTGTTGTTGTTTTTTTTTTTTTTTTTTTGGTTTTTCAAGACAGAGTTTCTCTGTATAGCTTTGCACCTTTCCTGGAACTCACTTGGTAGCCCAGGCCGGCCTCGAACTCACAGAGATCCGCCTGCCTCTGCCTCCCACGTGCTGGGATTAAAGGCGTGCACCACCACCGCCCGGCAGAATTGTAGTTTTATTTAATAGGTAAATATGATCATTACATATATAAGTTTTTTAAAGGATAAACTGTTACAAGTCTGGCGTAGTGTTGCACACCTTTAATCCCATCACTCAGGAGGCAAAGTCAAGTCTCTGTGAGTTCAAGGCAAGCCTGATTATATATATGGAGTTCCAGGCCAGCTGGGGCTACATAGAGGGACCCTGTCTCAAAAAAGAAAAGAGAAAAAAAACAAAAATGAACAAACAAAATTGTTGAAGATAAAGTTTTAAAAACAATTGAAATTAAATTGATTACATGTCAAAACTGCTCATTGAAAACATACATATGCTGAGCGGTGGTGGTGCACGCCTTTAATCCCAGCACTTGGGAGGCAGAGCCAGGCAGATCTCTGTGTATTGGAGGCCAGCCTGGTCTACAGAGCGAGATCCAGGACAGGCACCAAAACTACACAGAGAAACCCTGTCTCGGGAAAAAAAAGAAAAAAGAAAAAGAAAACATACATACAAACTGGGCAGTGGTGGCACACACTTTTAATCCCTAGCAAAAGCAAATGGATCTCTGAGTTCAAGGACAGTCTGGTCTACAGAATGAGTTCTAGAACAGCCAGGGCTACTACCACAGAGAACCCCTGACTCAAAAAACCAAACAAACGCTGGGCGGTGGTGGCGCACGCCTTTAATCCCAGCACTCGGGAGGCAGAGGCAGGAGGATCTCTGTGAGTTTGAGGCCAGCCTGGTCTCCAAAGGGAGTTCCAGGAAAGGTGCAAAGCTACACAGAGAAACCCTGTCTCAAAAAACAAAAAACAAAACAACCAAACAAAAAACAACAAAAATACAGATAGCCTTATACAGAGTGAACAGGTTGTTACAGTTAGGAATAGATATGCATACATGCATACAATAATAATGGGGGGGGAGGAGGCCATGAATTTGAAGGCAATTGGGGAGGAATATATAAGAGGGTTTGGAAGGAGGAAGGGGAAGCAAAAAATTGCTAACGGTGTCTAAAAAGAAAATAAAGTAAGATGATATTTACCAAGGTCTGTTTCTTTAGCAGTGGGGCATCTCCATCAAATACAAAAATAGGGCGAATACGAAAAAACAAGAGTTTGCAGAGCCGGTGGAACAATGTGAGAAGATGAGCATTTTCAACCATATTCCCATGGCGATCTCGGACTCCTTTAAGTGCTTGGTTTAGCCAAATGCTAATATCTGGGAGAGCCAGTAAAGGAAAACAGTTTGGGATTTCCAACTTCATCCTCAAAATTTCAATATCCAGGGCTGGAGAGATGGCTCAGCGGTTAGGAGCACTGGCTGTTCTTCCAGAGGATCCAGGTTCAAGTCCTAGCACCTACATGGCAGCTCCTAACTGTCTGTAACTCCAGTTCCGGGGATCTGACACCCTCACACAGACACACACACTGGCAAAATACCAATGCACATAAAATTAAAAAAAGAAAAAAGAAAGAAACCCTGTCTCAAAACCTCCTCCCCCCCCACCAAAAAAATTTAAAATTTCAATATCCAAGACATGATTCCAACAAACAGAGAACATTAAACATACATCACCACTTGTGTGATGTTGAAAGACACCTGGCCATGATGGAATCTACCCAAAAGTCTTTCTTTTGCTCCTTACTGCTTTCCACACCCTGACCATTAAAATCACAGGCAGAGCCACCCCTCCAAAAGTCTAATGGCGAAGACAGCTTCTTTAGATGCCAAATTCAAATTTAACATTTCACATGAGTACACACACACACACACACACACACACACACACACACACACATACGCACGCGCGTGCATGTGCAATGATATGGAAGCTGAAGGGAAGCATGAGAGGGAAGGATGGGTAGACAGTGGGAAAAGGGATGGGGAAGGGTAATTATAAACAAAGTACAATGATATACATGTATGAATATGTCAAAGAAACCTACTATTTTGAATACTAACTAAAAACAAAAATTTTAAAAAGGACTTTATAATGAAAATGTCTTTTTTGAAAAGAAAGTCCTCCTACTAAGCCTGGAGACAGAGCAGAGTACTTACATAGTATGCACAAAACCCTGGCTTCAGTTATGAACACTGCTACAACAAACAAGCTAAGCAAATGTAGCAACACACAACTGTAACCCCACGACTCAGGAGGATTGTGGGTTACAGGCCAGTCTAGACTACAGAACAAGTAAGGTTCTGTCTAAAAACAAAACAAAACGAACAAAAAGCTAATGTTCTACAAAGAATGTTAGCAAACTATCCCAAGTTTCGAGAGGACAACTTGAAAATTCATAGAAAAAAAAAAGTTAAAAATTGTATTGTCTTAAGAATTCCATTTCCGCTGGGCGGTGGTGGCGCACGCCTTTAATCCCAGCACTCGGGAGGCAGAGCCAGGCGGATCTCTGTGAGTTCGAGGCCAGCCTGGGCTACCAAGTAAGTTCCAGGAAAGGCGCAAAGCTACACAGAGAAACCCTGTCTCGAAAAAACAAAAAAAAAAAAAAAAAAAAAAAAAGAATTCCATTTCCATACATTTATGTAACAAGTATCTAAATTATTCTCTTATTAATAAAAACTCAGAAGTCAGATAGTAGGGTATGAACCTGGTAGATTAAAAAAGTGATGGAGAAAAGCCCATCTAACCCTCCTCTCTGCTTTTCCAGGATCCAAAATAAGTCCTCGAAACTCCTAAGCCCCCTCCTCTCTTCTCCCTGTGTCCCTCTCTCCCAATCTGAGTCAGTCAAAAAACTCTTAAGGTTTATTCTGGTTGGCTGAGCATTGACTCCATCCTCTGAATCAAGATTCAGTTTATTGGCAGTTTGGGGGGACAAAGCAAACAAATAACTCGCAACATGTTTATCCTCAAGAAATCATCATGGATTTACAATAAGATATAAGAATGCTTGAATATAACAATGAAAATATAAAAAGGTTCGAAAGCTTTGCCATGGGTCAGTGCTTAAAACTCAATTACAAGAGGCTGAGTTCCTGTTCCTAGTATAGCATGTTCTTACAAAGGGGTTCAAAACATGTCCAGTGATTAAAAATAATTATAAAACATTACTTGAGGAAAGTTAGTAGGTTATAAAAACTAAACAGTGTAATTCTCTTTATAATCCAAGTAGTATGTCAAATGCAGAAAAACTGACACCAACCATATTAAGGGTAGCTATCTCTGCTAAAACATGTCATTATGTTTTTCTTCTTGTAGTTTTCTCACTTTCTGAACCTTTTTTAAAGATGCCCCCCCCCCTTTTGATGTACTTTGCATTTGTTCCCAAGCATGAACCAGCCTGCTGGATTTCTTGCTCTTTGCTAGTTCCTGTAATTCACCATTAGAGAGCTTTTCTGCCATGATCTTTCCTTCCCTCCAATATGCACCACTTGCAGAGACGACCTCAAACAACCCACTACACCCAGCACATGTGTCTCCAAGACTAGAGCAGCACTCTGTCCTAGAAACCCTGGCTGAAATCTACCTGACTGCTTGAAGTCATTTCAAATTCAAATTCAAATGCCATGCCTTCTCCACTGAGCCCCACCTCAGTGAATCACTATTTCATGTGGGCCTGAGTTCTGGGTATCAGTTCTTGTATCCTCCTCATCCAACCAGTATCAGACCCTACCAGTACTCCCTTGCAGGCACATCCAACCTTTAATATTATACCTCTATGTTATTATCTACAAAGTTCATGCCTAAGACCTGTGCAATCAAGTTACAAAAAAATATATAAAAAACACTTTCAAAATGTTTTAAATAATTTTAAGATTTTGTGTTTGGCCATACTTATCAGCTACTACACGTACATGTGGCCTGTAGGCTGCAGGTTTGCTATACCTGGAAGTACACTGAGGTTTGCCAATAAATCTTTTAACAAGAGCCTTTTGATGTTTCAAAATCTATAAAGGATCTGGCCTGTGCCCATCTCTGTCACATTTTACACTACTACACTCCTAACATTAGAAACCACTCAGCTCCTTCCTACCATCTAACTACATCTACTTCTCCCATGCCAACCTCACTGTGTCCTACTGAGTCTCAAACTATGTGACATTTTTCTGGCCTCAATTAACACTTCCAGATATACACCTCTAAGAGATGTATTACTATATGCCAGAAATATGGGCATCTAACATTGAGCAAAAGTTTGTACCTTATGGAGTATACCATCCAGTAGGGGAACACCAAGCCTAAGGGCAACCTTGTTTGTGTAAACTGCTTCTGTTCACAATATACTCCCTCCATAAGGTCTAACATATTGGAGTGTGCATTATTTTTTAAAAATTGGACATTTTAAAATTAATGTACATTGTCTATCATTCACTACCACCAAAGTTACTAGTAAAATTTATGTACTACGGCAATATGCCATTGCCTTAATTTGGGTTTCTACTACTGTGATAAAACACTATGACCAAAAGCAAATTGGGGAGGAAAGGCTATATTTGGCTTATGCTTCCACTTCACAGTCCATCACTGAGGGAAGTCAGGGCAGTAACTGAAACAGGGTAGGAACCTGGAGGGAAGAGCTGATGCAGAGGACACGAAAGGGTCTGCTTACTGGCTCGTTCCTTATGGCTTGCTCAACCTGCAACCCAGGACCACCTACCCCACAATAGGCTGGGTCCTCTCCCATTAATCACTAATTAAGAAAATGCCCTTCAGTCTTGTCTAATCTTTTTCTTTTGGGGAAAGGGGAGTTCAGACAGAGTTTCTCTGTGTAGCCCTGGCTCTCCTGGAACTCACTCTGTAGTCCAGGCTGGCTTTGAACTCAAGAGATCTGCCTGCCTCTGCCTCCCAAGTGCTAGAATTAAAAGTGTACACCACCACCACTGGCTAGTCTTGCATAACTTTATGGAGATATTTTCTCATTTGAAGTTCCCTCCACTCAGATGACTCTAGATGACTGCCATGCCAAGTTGACAAAAAAGGGTATTAGTATATTTATCTCTATATTCTAGAGTGCTCCTTTGTACCAAGCATATCCAAGGCCCTAGAGTGCTGCGGGCCGCAGGAATATCATAAGAACTCAGCTGGTTATGGCAAAGTCACTACCTGGAGGAATCAGGGAATTCCTCCAGAGGAAGCCAAATCCCAAGGAGTTTTTGGTGTTACTTGGCTTGTTATATATCAGCTGTATTCTGTTA